ATATATATATATATATTATACATACATACATACATACATACATACATACATACATACATACATACATACATACATACATACATACATACATACATACTCTATACAAATACAAGCACTTAAGGGAAGAAGTTCTACACAATGCACAGATATTGTTTAGCCTGCACTAGTGTGATTTATAATTTCCTCATACTTTTTTTTTCATTACATAAAAGAGTGTTTGTATTAATAGAGTATCAGCAGCAGTTTTATTAAGTGGAATGAAAGGAAATATCTTATTTGTTGGATGCAGAGTAACAACCTTTTGTGCAAGCAAATAATTCTGCAGATCTCTCTGCATTATGCCACATCAATGTTGAATGGTAGCATAATGTGCCATATAGAAAGAAAAAATTGTGAATTTACATTTACCCTTAACCAGGACCACGTTTCTTCCACTCACCTTGTAACTTTAGTCATTGGGGGGACAACAACATAGTTACATTTGTCTGTAAAGGTTGGAGCATGGCAATGTGACTATATCAATATATGAATAAAGGTTTCTTTTATCTTGAACTGGTTTTTTTTTCCCCCCACCAAAAACAGAAGTTTTATATTACCAGCCAAGTTCAGGGTAGAATAACCTATTGATAGTGTCTTAAGTGAAGCCTTTTTCTTTAACTTTACTAATATATATTTTTATAAATACTAATATTTTAGGCAAACCACCCCCTTTAAATATTTAAACAGAAACAAATGCTCTCGTTTGTGTTAAAAGTGTTCTTTTTAAAATGTTTGATTTTCACACCAAGCTTACGCTGCATGAATCCAGAACTTGCTACAATCTTCAGGGACTGATTAAAGCACAACTGAACTTTCAATGTATTAACTAAATACATTCCAAATGCATCAAAAGAAAATGTGTTCGAAGTCTTACAATTTGATTTACTAGAAGCCTTAACCAGAGGAAAATAAAAACTGACCCCTGCCAGCATGCTGTAGAGAAGGACACTTGCTCTCTGTGTAGAAGCAGAGGTCCATCATGTCCTGCAGAGCCAAAGCTAGAAGTCTCCAATTAATGAGTATGAGCTTTGCTGATTGGAGAGCTGACTCGGCAGGTTGCGTGTAGGACCTCTGCAGAGAGGCCACTTCCACCACACAGAGAGCAAGAGTCCTTCTCTACAGTATGCTGGCAGGGGACAGGCTTTTGTAATCAGGCTGTGGCTACTTTGTAAAAAAATTATACTGTAATACTTTGTTTTGGTGCATTGTTTTTGATTACTTATCAGGCTCATGTTCCCTATAAAATCACCAGTGGTTAACACTTATATGGTTAGATGGGTATAGAGAGAATGTGATCTTTTGGAAACGGGCCATCAGACCCTTACACAAACTTCATCTGGTATGCTTATCCAATACCCAGTTCATATAATGTGGTGGTTTGTGTTTCTCACACTAGGTGTGGCAGGTTATAACAGTAGAAGGACTATATACTTAAAGCACCATTTTGTTACTGTACATTTGTCATCTGCCATCACTTTCTACAACATCCACAGTGACATGGTCATATTATTGTGCCTAATCAAGTAGATCATGCAGCAGTGTTTTGTGTGCATGCTCATTTGGTAACCACTTTGTCAGAAGGACAGAGAGCAGTACTAGAGCTTCAGACGTCCTCCAGTCCCTTAGCACAGTGCAGATTAGGAGCAGAGGACTGTTTGTTTGCTAATTGAAACTCTATGGGGAGAAGTTCTGTGTGGAAATACTGTACATTTTAGGAAAACACCTTTGAATAATAATCTCTGCAGTTTTGCTCCTGATGGACTATTGCAAATGTTACCTGTCTGTAAATTATTTTACAATAAACATTTTCTGATTCATTCAGCAAAAGAATTCTGCCATTTTATTTATTTTTTTGCATAGTTTGTGAGCTATAGCCTATTCTTTTAGCCTCCTGCCTACTGTCCAGCCAGGTGTCTATTGTTATCAGAATGAATCACAGATCATTACCTATAGGGAAGAACACTGTTACCAGAATAAATTGCAGATCATTGCCAATAGGGAAGAACACTGTTACCAGAATGAATCGCAGATCATTGCCAATAGGGAAGAACACTGTTACCAGAATGAATCGCAGATCATTGCCTATGGAGAAGAACATTGTTACCAGAATGAATCGCAGATCATTGCCGATAGGGAAGAACACTGTTACCAGAATGTATCACAGATCATTGCCAATAGGGAAGAACACTGTTACCAGAATGAATCACAGATCATTGCCAATTGGGAAGAACACTGTTACCAGAATGAATCACAGATCATTGCCAATAGGGAAGAACACTGTTACCAGAATGTATCGCAGATCATTGCCAATAGGGAAGAACACTGTTGCCAGAATGAATCGCAGATCATTGCCAATAGGGAAGAACACTGTTACCAGAATGAATCGCAGATAATTGCCAACAGGGAAGAACACTGTTACCAGAATGAATCGCAGATCATTGCCAACAGGGAAGAACAATGTTACCAGCATGAATCGCATTCATTCATTCCCTATATGTGGTTTCTGAAAACTTCACCCAAATATTTTGGCCATCGTTAGAAATGGGGCATCTCACCATTGCTGATTTAAAAAAAAAAAATTTGATCTGTGTATGTGGTGTGCCGCAAGAATGACTGATGGAATGCCAACTATGCTGTCCACACAATACCTATTGAAATTTGTGAGTGAGACAGACGCTGCATTCGGTGAGCTGCAAATTCTACTTCCCTGGCTGTCTTTGGCTTCAATACTTTGAGAGGTAGACCAGGGACAAGCATGTCAAGAGTGAAGTCAAAATTCCTAATCTGCATGCTCCTTTTGAAGCTGACCATATTCCAATTTCAGCAGATTCCTGCTAAATCAAATATTTGATCTGTGGGTGGCCCGGTCAGGACTACCCAGCTCAACCAAAGTCAATTTAAAAATCAACTGAGCCATGTAGAATTCCTATCAGATGCAGTCACTATTCTGATATTAACCCTTTCGCTGCCAAGCCCTCCGGAACATTTTGCAAAT